TGGCTGGTTTCAAGTTCATGTCGACTAAGACCTTTTGTTCGATGGTACCCATGTAGAAGTTCGCAAATAGGACACGTAGGGGAGAACCCATGGCGACCCCATCTACTTGCTTATACATGTGCCCATCCTGGTTCAAGAAGGGTGCCTCTTTAGTACAAGCTAGGAGTAGTTTACTTAGAATGTTTTCTGGTATGTCAAGAGGAGTACAGGCCGGATCACGATTCACTCTGTCCGCTATCATCCCGATTGTTTCATCCACAGGTACGTTGGTAAACAGTGATTCTACGTCCAACGAGGCTCTAATCCCTGTGGCCCGTGTTCCCTGCAGCAAGTCAACAAATTCCTTTTTTAGACTTCGGGCTGAAGGTGGAAAGGACATAAGGAGTCTGCAAGCCGTTAAGTCTCTTCACCAGTCTGTACGTGAGTGTGGGTATCTGGCTGATGATTGGCCAAAGTGGATTTCCAGGCTTGTGTGTCTTGACATTTCCATACGCGTATCCAGGTTTGAATTCCCAAATAATCTTTGGCAGGTGGAGTCCGGAGCATAGCATAGTAGAACTCTGTTTAGTGTTTGCAGGTTACAGTTGTGTGTGTGTAAACTAAAGTCTTTGAAAATGTAATAAGGTTTTACGAAACACGTTCAAGTGTCGCATCAGACTAGAAATAAAAACGAATTTTGGAGAATTGATTTTTCAATTACCATCGATAGTGAAAAGAAACATAAGAAATATTGAGAAAATTCGTGTTAGAATTTATAATCTTACTTTTTCGGTCATATTTAATAATATATGTTTAAAAGAAAAACTGCTACCAAAATATACTAATATATATATATATATATATATATATATATATATATATATATATATATATATATATATATATATATATATATATATATATATATATATATATATATATATATATATATATAACTAGTTATATATATATATATATATGACTGAAAACTCACCCCAGAAGTGACTCGAACCCATACTCCCAGGAGCTTCTGGGGTGTGAGTTTTCAGTCGCATATAGTCCTGGGGACCATTCAGGCTTGTTTGCATTTGTGTTCCTCACGTGTGCCCCAAAGAATGAGGTGATTTGGTGAAATGCTATGCCCAAGATTACCATCCGAGTTGCCGGCGGGGAAGTGGTTCAAATAGCTTCGGCTATCACTTCCTTTTGTCCGGCCGTGATGGTCAAGCGGATTAAGGCGCCCTGTAGTTACCAGTTGCGTTGCTCCTGGGAGTATGGGTTCGAGTCACTTCTGGGGTGTGAGTTTTCAGTCGCATATAGTCCTGGGGACCATTCAGGCTTGTTTGCATTTGTGTTCCTCACGTGTGCCCCAAAGAATGAGGTGATTTGGTGAAATGCTATGCCCAAGATTACCATCCGAGTTGCCGGCGGGGAAGTGGTTCAAATAGCTTCGGCTATCACTTCCTTTTGTCCGGCCGTGATGGTCAAGCGGATTAAGGCGCCCTGTAGTTACCAGTTGCGTTGCTCCTGGGAGTATGGGTTCGAGTCACTTCTGGGGTGTGAGTTTTCAGTCGCATATAGCCCTGGGGACCATTCAGGCTTGTTTGCATTTGTGTTCCTCACGTGTGCCCCAAAGAATGAGGTGATTTGGTGAAATGCTATGCCCAAGATTACCATCTGAGTTGCCGGCGGGGAAGTGGTTCAAATAGCTTCGGCTATCACTTCCTTTTGTCCGGCCGTGATGTTCAAGCGGATTAAGGCGCCCTGTAGTTACCAGTTGCGTTGCTCCTGGGAGTATGGGTTCGAGTCACTTCTGGGGTGTGAGTTTTCAGTCGCATATAGTCCTGGGGACCATTCAGGCTTGTTTGCATTTGTGTTCCTCACGTGTGCCCCAAAGAATGAGGAGATTTGGTGAAATGCTATGCCCAAGATTACCATCCGAGTTGCCGGCGGGGAAGTGGTTCAAATAGCTTCGGCTATCACTTCCTTTTGTCCGGCCGTGATGGTCAAGCGGATTAAGGCGCCTTGTAGTTACCAGTTGCGTTGCTCCTGGGAGTATGGGTTCGAGTCACTTCTGGGGTGTGAGTTTTCAGTCGCATATAGTCCTGGGGACCATTCAGGCTTGTTTGCATTTGTGTTCCTTACGCGTGCCCCAAAGAATGAGGTGATTTGGTAAAATGCTATGCCCAAGATTACCATCCGAGTTGCCGGCGGGGAAGTGGTTCAAATAGCTTCGGCTATCACTTCCTTTTGTCCGGCCGTGATGGTCAAGCGGATAAAAGCGCCCTGTAGTTACCAGTTGCATTGCTCCTGGGAGTATGGGTTCGAGTCACTTCTGGGGTGTGAGTTTTCAGTCGCATATAGTCCTGGGGACCATTCAGGCTTGTTTGCATTTGTGTTCCTCACGTGTGCCCCAAAGAATGAGGTGATTTGGTGAAATGCTATGCCCAAGATTACCATCCGAGTTGCCGGCGGGGAAGTGGTTCAAAGAGCTTCGGCTATCACTTCCTTTTGTCCGGCCGTGATGGTCAAGCGGATTAAGGCGCCCTGTAGTTACCAGTTGCGTTGCTCCTGGGAGTATGGGTTCGAGTCACTTCTGGGGTGTGAGTTTTCAGTCGCATATAGTCCTGGGGACCATTCAGGCTTGTTTGCATTTGTGTTCCTCTCGTGTGCCCCAAAGAATGAGGTGATTTGGTGAAATGCTATGCCCAAGATTACCATCCGAGTTGCCGGCGGGGAAGTGGTTCAAAGAGCTTCGGCTATCACTTCCTTTTGTCCGGCCGTGATGGTCAAGCGGATTAAGGCGCCCTGTAGTTACCAGTTGCGTTGCTCCTGGGAGTATGGGTTCGAGTCACTTCTGGGGTGTGAGTTTTCAGTCGCATATAGTCCTGGGGACCATTCAGGCTTGTTTGCATTTGTGTTCCTCACGTGTGCCCCAAAGAATGAGGTGATTTGGTGAAATGCTATGCCCAAGATTACCATCCGAGTTGCTGGCGGGGAAGTGGTTCAAATAGCTTCGGCTATCACTTCCTTTTGTCCGGTCGTGATGGTCAAGCGGATTAAGGCGCCCAGTAGTTACCAGTTGCGTTGCTCCTGGGAGTATGGGTTCGAGTCACTTCTGGGGTGTGAGTTTTCAGTCGCATATAGTCCTGGGGACCATTCAGGCTTGTTTGTATATATATATATATATATATATATATATATATATATATATATATATATATATATATATTTATATTTATATATATATATATTTATATATATCTATATATATATGTATATAACTGAAAACTCACACCCCAGAAGTGACTCGAACCCAAACTCCCAGGAGCAATGCAACTGGTATGTACAAGACGCCTTAATCCACTTGACCATCACGACCGGACATAATGAAGTGATAGCCGAGGCTATTTGAACCACCCCACCGCCGGCACTCGGATAGTAATCTTGGGCATAGCATAGCATAGATAGCATCGGCTATCACCTCATTATGTCCGGTCGTGATGGTCAAGTGATGGTCAAGTGGATTAAGGTGTCTTGTACATACCAGTTTCGTTGCTCCTGGGAGTATGGGTTCGAGTCACTTCTGGGGTGTGAGTTTTCATTCGCATATAGTCCTGGGGACCATTCAGGCTTGTTCGCATATATATGTATATATATATATATATATATATATATATATATATATATATATATATATATATATATACATATATATATCGCTGCTGAAAACTCACACTCCAGAAGTGACTCGAACCCATACTGCCAGTATCAATGAATCTGATATACAGGATCCCTTAATCACTCGACCAACACCATCGGACAAAAGAGGATGGTAGCCGAGGCTAATTCCCATCCCCACGCTGGCACTCTGTTGGTGTTCTTGGGCATGGTATTTTATCATATCACCTCATTCTTTGGGGCACACGTGAGTACCACAAATGCGAACAAGTTTGAACGGTATTCAGGCATATATTCAGCTGAAAACTCACACCTCAGAAGTGACTCGAACCCATACTGCCAGAAGCATTGCATCTGATGTACAGGATCCCTTAACCACGCGACCAACACGACCGGACAAATGAAGGTGGTAGCCGAGGCCAATTCCCATCCCTCCTCCGGCACTCTGTTAGTATTCTTTATCATGGTATTTTATCAAATCACCTCATTCTTTGGGGCACACGTGAGTAACACAAATGCGTATTAAGAAATGGCCTCTCCCCAATCAGTCATATCACTTCAGTACCAAACATTATGTTTATGGTTCTTAATCATCATAGGTGTTGGGATTATATAATTCCACGTCATTCTCTTTCCTGTCTTTTGAATTCCTTGAAAATATTTTGACTCACGACATCGCTAAGATAAAAACAAATTATCTATGTGCATAACTGAATTGCAATTTTTTTGTGATTATTCTTTGCTTAAATCATGCTTTAACCGATATGTTATCCAGAACCGGTTATATGCACACATGCATAGAAGTTCTGTGTATTGCCTGACACATGCAACTGGCGCTCTGTTTAAGTCATCCTCTGGGCACTCCCGGAAGGTAACACAATATTAATATTCGTTACTCTTCTCCAGCTCCCATGGTACACATTATTTCTTGGCCGACAAGTGTATTATTCCTTGAATGAAGAATGTTTGCGTGTCTTGCAGCTTGTTGTTCTATTGCCATTGTAGTTAAATACTACAAATTTATGATCCTCCTCCTGATCCCTGTGACCGACGCCCAAGATTTTTTATGGAAACTTGGTAAAACTCCGTCGGCTCTGGGATGTGAATACGGTACACTTATAGATTTCAGTAATTATTTCTGTTCGCACATCCAAAAATTATAAGCAAAATATTTACATTACATACATATGCACAATTTTAACGAGATTCATTGTGGGATTCTCTTTCCAGCTCTCATTGTAAAATGCGTGTAACCTGATTAAAAAAATATATATATGTGATCTACAAAAAGTTAGAAGAAAGCATCCATAATTATCTTTCTATTCAAAATGAAGCAAACGGTATGTTGAATTTGAACCACATAACCAGGATGGTGGAGACGAGTGTAATCGTGAACGTAGAGAGTCTCTTTACCGACAACCCTAAGCCTCCACAAGACATCCTTTTACACGACCCTAGTGAAGTCATTCTCCAGCCACCTGGCTATCAGCAGACATCACTGAATAAGTCAACTGAACACTCTAGACGTCAGTACCAGACACCGACGGATCAGCTCGCCGGAGATAACCTCCTACAGGGACTGTGGGGAGACTCGAGAACCACTTGCCGGGGACTTATTCTCGACCTCACCTCCAGCAGCAACACCACTCACCTCGCACTCAGGTACTCTACTTTAAGCAGTCAAAAATCAAGATTTTTCCTTAGAAAATTAAAATTAATAATTTTACTTAATCAGAGCATTCAATCTCTGTTCAGATTTAAGTTGTTTTGTGAGTTTTTAAATCAAATGTTTTTCCAAGCAAAGTATTTTACAAAATTTCAAGGAAACTCTTAACAAATAAATTTCTTCCTTTAGTCAAATTTCCCAACGTCCCTAAAGATATTCACTGTTAAATTTACATAATCACAAATTAATTTTCAGGTTTGTGTTTACCGACTACTATTTATTGGGAACTAGCTGTACCCGCCACACGTTGCTGTGGCTCAGTCTGGTTAAATGGAAAAGAAAGTTAAGAGAAAATTCACGTTTCTAACATGTTTAATTTCACAATGGTTGTGGGTATACAATATTTTTTCTTGTTCCACTGTCTGTAGAGATATAGAGATTGTTTGATTGCCGACTCTAGAACACGCAACATATAATTGTCCATGTGAGAAGCAATCCGTGTCTAGATCTAAACCGCATTATTCTAAAGATTCGCCCTGAGCTTTGTTAATGGTAACTGCAAACGCCAATCGAATTGGGAATTACAATCTCTTAAATTGAAATGGCAAATCCGTTGGAATTATGGGAATGTGAGGAATGAGGACATCTTTACCTTTGAAAAGTCCTGTCAAGATTATTGCTTCTACGACGTTGCTGAATAATTTTTTACTGCAAGCCGCGTGCCAGTGCCAGGCTTTCGCTGGTTGATATTTCGTAACATGATAATTGGCACGCCGATTTTTAATTGCAGTTCGTGCGGTGGTGGTATTCCTGGCAGATCGAGTAAATTAAAAAATTCTGTTGGATAATTAACGCTTCATCTGCTTTCACCACAGCGTCGACGGACTTGTATATGACTGCCTTGCTTTGTATGTTAGACTGAATAATATTGTTAAATTCTTGGACGTCTTTGTTCTTGGCCGCAAGAACAGCTCGTTCACTCAGCCAATCGTGATTATTATAATTGGTTTGAATATTGGCAAATACTTTTTCAACCAATTGTTCTTTTGACGTCACTAAATTGTAGAAGTTATGAGGCAATGAAATTCGTCCTGAAGTCAGAACAACCAGCACGTTTCCGTTCCCAATTTCTAGAAATTAATGTGAGAATAACTCAGCTAATGAGTCGTTTTGCAGTTGAACACGCATATTTGTAGTTAATTTTAACATCTTTATGTGGCGCAACAAAGTAGAGTATTTCAGGCAAGCATTTATTTCGTTCGCGGGTGTCGATCGAGGAATTACAGGTAATGTTTGCATGAAATCTGCAAGCAATATTAATGCGTTCCCAAATGGCCTGATATTTCCTCGCAAATTCTGCAATGATCGATCAAGAGCCTTGAGCGATTTTTTGTGGGCCATTGTACATTCATCCCAAACAATAAGTTTACATTTCTACAATACTTTCCCCATTCCGGATACTTTGGAAATGTTGCACGTGGGAGTTTCAATGAATTGCATGTTCAATGTCAATTTCAAAGCCGAAGTAGCAGTTCTTCCACCTGCTAGCAATGTCGCACCTATTCCGGACGATGCAAGAGCTAAGGTTATACCATTTTGGGATCGAAATGCTGCCAAAATCAATCTAATTTGAAAGGTTTTACAGTTCCTCCTGGCGCATCTAAGAAGATTTTTCCAAACCCGTTATTGACAGTTTGAATTATTTAATCATAAATGCCTTTTCGCTCAAGCGTTTGCTAAAGAATATTTCATTACACATACGATACCAGATCACCCGTGTTGTAATTTTGTTCATGACGCAATTCTACATTGAACGAAGCAGCAGCAGATCGATTCGGTGATGGCATTTCCAATTGAATGAGAACTATGTTCGCGATTTCTAAACACAAATCTTCAATCATTATCAACGCTTCGTTGTAGATTTCTGCTGTGAAATTCATGTTCATTTTTTAATTTTCCTTGCGTATTCGACGGGCAATATCTTCAGCCATGTGCGATTTGTGTTTCTCCCATACTCTGTTGGAGATATAGGAGAACCGGTGATCATAATGATTGCTAACAATGAACGAATTTGATTTGGTTGGATGTGTCATTAATGCATACATCCCAGTTTCGGTCGTTTTAAAATAAATTCAGAGCTTGACATGCACTACGGAAAGTACCATGTGTTACACTGCAGACAAATCTCAATTGCTGGAAAGACGTTGGACCGGGCACATTTACCAACAGCTCGCGATGAAAGAAGCGTTCATCTTGATTGGGTTGCATGGTGTACAGTTCGCCTATCGTAGTTTGCTTGAATATGCCAGGTTGTCCGTCGACTCGCTCTCCTCGTTTTCGTCGTTCAAATGATTTTCTACTGGCATTCCATGTGTAATATGTAGGCACTTTTGAATACAGCAATGTTTTTTGCAAACGTGTCATTTTGACATAACGTGAAGAAAGCAGATAATGTTGTAGCCGGTGGATTCATTGCTGTTTGTTGCACATTTGCAGCTGTGAAATAAACGTGTTGTCCATTTTCAGGTTTTCAAAACAAAAATAAAAAATACTAACAAAATATTTCAATTCAAACGCTGATCAATCGACACAGCTCAGTTTCTCCACCAATTGCACTGAAAAATAAGAACAGTTAAAAAAACAGAACAAAAAACAATTGAAAACGAAACAAATAAGCAATACGTACGAAATGAACGGTATGGTAAAAACACAGCTTAATTCTAATGCAATGTCACACAAAATAGTTATATCAAAATGAAAATTAATCAAAATCTATGAAAATTCAATATGTCAATGCAATCGGAAACATTTAAATTGAATCGTAACATATCTTGTATATTGTGTGTTGCTCTTACGAGCAACAGATGGCGCTGTTTTCCAAAAAATGCATGATTTTACCTGTCATAGATGTGGCATCTAAATAGTAGGTAAATCAAAACCAGCACGTATTCAAAAAGAACGTTGTGTCAAAATTTCAAAGCAATCGGTGAAGAACTTTCAGAGATTACAGCGTGTGCTGCACATATGTCCTACTGATAATGCTGCTTTTAAAAAATAACATGTTTTTTCCTGCCACAGGTGAAGCATTTATATAGTAGGCATATAAAAACACTCGCTTATTCGAATACAATGTTGTGTCAAAATTTCAAGGCAATCGATAAAGAGGTTTTGAAGATTTTCCTCACTTGAAAAAAACACGAAAAACACAATTTTTAAAAAAAGCCTATTTTTCCCCATTACAGACATGACATTTAGTTAGTATCTATATAAAAACCCGCTCGGATGCGAATGGAACGTTGTGTGAAAATGTCAAGGCAATCGGTGAAGAAGTTTTGGAGATTAGCGATTTTGAACCAACAAACATATTCATTTTTATTTATATAGATTATTTAAAATCTAGGGAGCTTTAACCCTTTTTACCTCAGAACTGGTCCTATCTATTTACGTGCTTAAACTCTAGTGTTCGTAACAGTGGGAATACCTCACGATAATTTAGGTACCGCATTTCCGGACATGTTGGGATCCTTTAACGTACAGGATTGCCCTTTAGGCCAGTTGCATCCTTCATTTCACCGCGAAAATAGTAACAGATCTAACAGTGCAGGAAACGGAATGTAGGCTTTCATACCAGTCTATACTAAGGAAACGAACATAGGAATGTGCATTAATGCTAATAGTGACTACCTGGACAGGTACAAGCGGAGTGTTGTCTACGCCTGTATCGACCAAGCTCTCACAGCGTTGATTATACATGCCACCACTTCGCCTCCCCACCCACGAGGACACCTTGCCACCGGGCCACAAAACCCAGGCGGCTTCATGTGTGTCCTCACCACTCACTATTGGGCCACCTACCACCTCACCACCCACCTACTGCTTAGTGGGTGAAAGCCACCCATTGTGTAGTGGGTGAATACTCACCCATTGTATAGTGGGTGTATTCTCATGCATTACATAGGAGGGGGGTATATGTATTACCATTCATCTGAGTGGTAAGTGTCATGGCCAGCTGATCATCCCTCCACCCGTTGTCCACCCTCCTGCTCAGCGCCCGTCCATGTCGCAGATCTCAACAGACAGCTAGGCTTCTCCAAGCCAAGATGAGCCATCAAGCAGGGGTTAACAAGGCAGATGTCAGACGTGTGGCAGGGAATGCTGTATCCGGTCCAGTGACGGTCATGTGCGCAATCGTTACCACCATGAAACCAGGTGTTTTGGTTGTCGGCGTCCTCCCAGGGCAAACACCAATCAACAGCCCACACCGTCCTTCAGGCAAAACACCTTCCAGAGCTTTATGTCCACAGATAATTTATTAGAAGCTATCAAAACGACATCGGTCAGAACCTTGCAACACTTCCCCAAAGCAGCCCGCCCCCATGCAGCAGCCAAATTATCCGTCCTACTGAGAAAGGTCAACGACTCTTCTGGAACGACCAAAGCATGGCACAACCTCCTACTGATTGGCAACATATGTCTAGCCACCCCTGCAAGGAGAGACAAAATCTTAGCTACCTCAGTCATCAAAACCTTAATCTAATCGCAAAATTTTATAATCACTAATCTCCGAAAGTTCTTCAACGATTGCTTTGAAATTTTGACACACCGTTACATCCGCAAACGAGTGGATTTTTATATACCTATCATATAGATGTCACGTCCGTGACAGGTAAAAATATGCTCTTTTGAAAAACTGTGTTTTCATGTGAGGGAAATCTCCAAAGCCTCTTTACTGACTGCTTTGCAATTTTGACACAACATTGCATTCGATTACTCACGTGTTTTCATATACCTTCTATATACATACCACACCTGTGACAGGTAATAATATGTTTTTTTTTTTAAACAGTGCCATCTTTTGGATGTAAGAGCAACAAACGCTGTAAACTCTGAAAGTTCTCCGGCGATTGCTTTGAAATTTTGACACAACATTCCATTCAAATACACTTGTGTTTTTACATACCTACTATATAGATGCAACACATGTGAAAGGTAAAAA